GCCTGCTCCCCTCCCGGCCAGTCCCCCTCCCCCCTCAATCTGAGATCAAGTGTGTCTGATATTTTTTTGAAACCATCTGGTAACCCTAACTGAGATACAACCAGCCACTCAAGAGGCCTTGCAGGAAGCAGTCCCTTGTACAAGCCCCCAGCAAGTAGCAGAAAGACAAAAAATAATAAAATAAGGGACGGGTGGAATCCGACAAGCTTGGTTATATTCGTGGAGGCCTCAACAGGGGCTTGGGTTATTTCGTTCTGGTCCCTGCAGTTTGCTTGCTTCCAGACCTGTGTCCCTCGAGATCCAGGGGAGAGAAACTGATGCACCAGGAGAGCATCTTGTTTCTAAAGCACCATGCAGGTCAATATCTCCTTCGGCGTCTTGGTGGCCAGGGGCTTCTCTGTCAGGGGACACAGGCCAGAATGTTTGTGCTGGCTGCCTCTTTGGTGGGTTGACTCGTTTTCTCTCGCCTGCCTTCTTGGGTCCCTGAAAGGCTGGGTAAAAGAAGAAACACTTCATAAAAGCACATCATGCTTCGATTCCGATCCACAGCCCACCAAAGGCCATCGAAAGGCTGACACGGACTTGAATGGAGTTTGGATCGGGCCCTTCCATGGCCTTTGGCAGCTGGGTTTTGCAGTGGGCCTCTGAGAGTTAGGAGCCAAGTGGGAGCTGCAAGCACCTAACTCCTTTGGAGTTCTTTGAAAATCCCTTGCCTCCAGCGAGCAATCTCAAAGTGTTTTGCAAAAGGTGGGTGCCTAGCTCTGACCCCTCCAGTCTATAGGTGAGGAAACTGAGGCACAAAGCAGGGGCATGTTTTGACCAAGGACACACAGCAACTCAGGGTAGAGCCAAGAAGTGAACCCAGGAGTCCTGATTCCAGTCCCTTGCAGGATTCCCTTTAAGCTGAGTGCTTGGGTGGCCACCCAGGAAGGATTCAAATGCCACCCAGCTGATTAACAGCCAGCAGTATGTGTTTCTCAGATGGTGCACATCTGCACATACCTCCATGCATAGAACAAAATGTATTCTGCACATAGATGGAAACAATTAGAGGGAACACTGGTCCCTTGCCCCATCCACTATCCAGCATCCCATCCAGCTAGTACAAACCCCCGAAACTATTTTGATCATCAGACCCTCCCTGCTTTAACCACTCATGTGCGCTGCTCGCAGCACTGGTAATGAAGCCCAGGAACGCAGACTTCCTGGCCCATGCTCAAACCATTCTATCCTTGCCCCTCCTCCCTCAGAGAAAGCCCCTGGGGATGCGGGCTTACATCTAGAGCAGTGGCCCCCAACCTTTTCAAGCATACGGCCCCTTTTCCAATCTGTTAAAATGTTACGGATCCCCCCCAAGGGGAGCGGCGGGAAGCAGCAGCCAGCACGTTCCTTGGGCCGTATGGCTCCCTCAGCACCTCCCCCTCCATCTCCTGCCCATCCATGGAGGATACGGCAAGGGGACTATCGTGGCCAAAGGCAGCTCCTGCCCTTTCACTCCACTCTTGGTCGGGCATGGAGCCCTGGGGGAGAAAAAAAAGACAAGGAAAAGAAAAGGGAGGATCGAGCCCACTGTAGGACTAGGGCTATGTCTAAACAACACAAGTCTTCCGGAAAAAGATACGCAAATTGCAAACCACAATTTGCGTATCTTTTTCCATTTCTTTTTACAGAAGCAGCTTTTCTGACATTCGGCCTGTCTCCACTGGGCCAAATGTTGGGAAAAAACCCTTTTTCAGAACATCCCTTCTTCCTCATACAACAAGGATTACAGGGATGCCGAAAAAACGCATCTGCTCTTCCGCGGCAGTTTTTCTGGGAGGTATCCCGGAAAAACTTTGCAGTCTAGACGTACCCTGGGAGGGTGAGAGGGCTGGAGCATAAGGTGGCAGGAGGCTGGAGGGTGCTTCTTGGGGTATCAAGATCCCATCTCATGGGCGGGAGGCAGCGAGCGTGCGGCCGGTTGCAAATGGCGAGCCCCAGGAGATGGGTGGAAAATCCCAGTTCTGCAGTGGGCCCGATCCTTACTGGTTTTTTTCCTTCCCTTTCCTAAACTTTCCACGGACACCCCTACAGTACCATCACGGACTTTCCACGAACCATAGGTTGGGAACCGCTGCTCTAGAAGCAGAGAGGACATTGCTGGGTGCCAATAACAAAACAGACAGAGCAGGACACTTGCAAGGGTGTGTCTAGACTGCCTCTGCCGACAGAGAGATGCAGATTAGGCACATTGAAATCTCTAAAGAAGCAGGGATTTAAATATCCTGCACGTCATTCGCATAAAAATGGCCGCTGCTTATTTTCGGCACGGAGCTTTGTCGGAGAAAAGCAGCAGTCTAGAGGCTGATCTATCGAAAAACCAAGCCTTTTCCGAAAGATCCCTTATCCCTCTTAAAATAAGGGATAAGGGATCTTTCGGAAAAGGCTTTATTTTCCGAAAGATCCGCGTCTAGACTGGCGCTTTTTTCCAGCAAAACTCCATGCCGAAAAAACGTGGCAGCCATTTTAATGCTAATGAAGCGGGGGAGATTTAAATCCCCGCTTCATTAGCAATTGTGATACGACTAATTTGCATCCCTTTTCCGAAAAAAGGATGCAATCTAGACGTCGCCCTCGTGAAATGAGGTTTGCACAATCTTTCGAAAAAGGCTTTATTTTTCGGAAGATCAGACTCTAGACCATTTTTTTCTGACAAAGCTTCATGCCGAAAAAAGCGGCGGCCATTTGTATGCAAATGACGCACAGGATATTTAAATCTCCGCTTCATTAGCAATTTCGATGTGCCTAATCCGCATCTCTCTGTCGGCAGAGAGGTGCAGTCTAGACACACCCTTGGAGCGGGTTAGCGGGCGGCTCCGTCATCGTCTTCCAGATGACACAGGATTTCAGGGTCCTCTCCCCAGCTTTGCAGTTCTGCACATGGATGGGTTTGGAAGGGACACTTTCCCCGAGTTAAGCATTGCAAGCTGCGCCAGGGTTTTCTCAAAATGAACGCTCCGTTGGCTTGGAGGGAAGGGCCATCCTTTCTAATATTCTTAATTTGAAAGATTATAGGCCAGGTTTCATGCGACAGCTAGATACGGAGCGACTCAGCGAGAAGAAGGCAGCTGGAGATTAGGTAGATCGATCGCTATGAAGATTAGAGGCGAAGGCGGAGATGTTTTAAGTTGCCGACAGTATTTGGATGCTCGTGTTAGATTCATTAGGAATTGACCATCCGAATCGCACAGAAAACGCCGGCCTATCTATTTTCTCCTCTCTCAGGAGCTGAGCTGGCTTTCTCCGACGTCTCTCCAGGTCCAGCCAGCCACACAAATTGTCCTGGGTAGCATTTGTTACTAGAGCCCTGTGCGGATACAAAATTTGTATCCGCATCTGGATCTGGAAAAATGAGCCGCAGATATCCACAGCCATGCTGGCGGATTCCAGTGGCTATCCAGCAGATATAAAGCGGATCTCTGCAAACGGGCAGGGTTCTCGACACAAAATTTGTATTTGCCTCCCCATCCACAGCCGCAAAAACACGTTGTGGCTCCCCACGGATACAAAACGAGTCGCTGAAGATTTGCAGGGCTCTATTAAGGACCCTGTCCAACCCTAGCTCAGAGGACTGAGCTATTTCGGGGTGGGGCTAGGCTGAGAGGGGGCTTCTGAGAAGGGTTTGAGAAGGTTACTTGAAAATGACCATTCCTCTGCCAGCATCTGACCTGGCCAAAAGTGTGTTCGGGACACAAGCCCTGAGAGTCGACCCCTCCCAGGGTGGCACTGATGCGGTGAAACAAGGCAGCTCTCCGATAGCACAGGCTGGGATCTGAGGCAGAGCTGGCGCTTCAGCCATTGGCGAAATTAAAACTCCACTTCCAAAGAAACGCGACTCCCCGTCCGCCGCCGAATCATCCACGTGAAAATCTCCTTAAACAAGCAGAAACACTGTCTGCCGCTGCCACATTTACACACGCGCAGTGTGCTCCCCTCTTCTTTCCCGTGCTCCTTCTTTGCACGCGTCGCACGCTGGATCACATGGGCCCTTCTTACACGCCCCCAAAGGATGGCGGCAATGCCCGGCTCTGCCACCGACTCCCTGGGTGACCTTGGTAATGTCACAGTGGAGCAGCTTTTCAAGCCCTCTGCTCCCGGTGTAACTACTTTACCCACTTGGTTCCCATGCTGTGCTCAGGACCCAGGATCCTGGCTCGCAGTCGCCTTCTCTAGCCATTGGACAACACTCCCTAGTGCTTTAGAATAGGAAGTGAAGACACGCCTGTTGTGTCTAGCTCAGCCTCCCTCCCCGCTGGATTTAGCAAGAAGAGGGCTACGGGAGGTGAGGCCTTCAGAGACGAACATCCCCCATGGAGACACACACACCACTTCGGGCAGAGGTCTCCTCTCTAAGCCATCGCCCAAACCCATCCTGCTTCGCTTGCTACCCAATGCCACATGATACAATAGGGGCAGGCCGGATATGGCCCATGGGCCGCATTCGGCCCACCAAGCCTTTGAATCTGGCCCACAGCCTGCCCCGCTGGGGCCCACAGGCAGCTGGCTGCTCCATGTGGCTTTCAGCACCACATGTGAAGGGGGAGGGCTTTGTGTGCTGCCTCCACCCCCTGTACAGTCTCTCAGCTCCAATTGGTCAGCTGCTGAGAGGCACATGGACCAACCAGATGCTTTGAGTGGCCAGGGGCTGCAGCAGGCAGGGAACCTGCTTGCGGGTCCTGCTGGGCTGCTGGCTGGGAGCCACCTAGATGATTGTCTCCCAGCCAGAGCCAGCATCTGGCACCCCCTCCCCCCACCGCACCCCAACTCTGCCCCAGGCTACCACCCCCTCCTGCCCCAGATCACCACTCAAACCCTCTGCACCTGCTCCCTCCCAGACCTTACATCCCCTCCTACACCCCTCTTCTAGGCCAGAAGCCTCTCCTGCACCCATATCCCTTCCCAGACCCCGTACCCTAAACCCCTGCCCCGAATCACAGCCCCCTCCTTCAGCCAAACTCCATCTCAGACCCCCCCCTGCACCCTAGTCCTCTACCCCAAGTTCCCTTCTGCACCCCTCCTCCGTCCCAGACCCCGCACCCCCTCCACAGACATGCGGCTCTTGACCACTTGCCAAAATCTTGGAGTGCCCCCCCCCCAAACATTATTGCCCACCCCTGGGCTACAACCACAGGCTGCCGAGGCCTCTGATGGGGACAGCTCCGAGCAGCCTGAGTGGGCGCCATTCATCTGCAGCGCTCTGTGTCCATGATTCAATCAGGCCCTGGCTCCTGGGGCACCGGGTTAGGCGCTGGCGCCAGCTTCTGATGATTTGTAGGATGCTGCTTGTTCATTAGCCCTGCTAATTAGCTGTCCCTGTCTTCCTTTTCTCTGGCCATGCCTCTTTATTTCTCCTCTTCTGGGCCCCCGTTTCTCTCTTCCTGCCCTGCCTTTCCCCATCGCTCCTTCCCGCGTCCCTTCCACCCGCCTTCCCCGACCCTCAGCTCTTATTCTTTCCACCTGTCGCATTCTTCCTCTCCCTGCGCTCTCTTCCCCATCCCCCCCAGCCCCGTTCCCTGCTTTGCCCCTCTTGCCTCTCCTGTGCCCCGTGCGGACCAGGCGGACGGAGTGGCTGGGCCCTTCGGAGGAGCTGCGGCCTCTCCGTGTCTCAAAGGGTCCGGCACAGAGGACTTTGGGGAATCTGCTTTTATTCCAAGCTGGCAGCTTGCCCTGAACCAGAGCCCTCGGGAAGCCAACCTGCCACAGCCCCGTTTCCGTTGGCCCCAGGCCAGCAGCACCGCTA